AGTTTCTTCTGACATCCATTTTGGTCTTTTCTTCCTCCTCTGTCTCTGTAATGACCATTTGTACTCTTCCTGGATGATACCCTTGATATCCTCCCACAACTCATTTGGTCTTTGTTCATTAGTGTTCAAGACCTCATACCTGTTCCTGAAATGGTTCTGAAATTCAGGTGGGATAGACTTAAAGTCATATTTTGGTTCCCGTGGATTTGGTTTCATTTTCCTCAGCTTCAGCTTGAACTTGCATATGAGTAATTGGTGGTCTGTTCCAGAATCAGTTACTGGCCTAGTTTTCATAGCTGATAATGAGCTACTAACCAAATTAATGGGAGCTTCAACCCAGCAGCCACTTCATGGGAGTCACATTGGGGCCTCTGAAACCCAAGGGGAAGCTTGCCATTACTTGAGTTCATTCAATAGGCAGTGAGTTAAGTGAGTTCCCCCTCTTCTTTCTTTTAATTTCATTTGGGTGAATGTAGTTTAGAAATTGTTCACTTTCTTTTTCTGCCTAAATTTCAGAAAGACGCCTTTGCAGAGCTATGGCTGATAAGGTAGCTTCCAAATTCTCTACTCTCAGATTTCTGAGAATTTCTAGTATTTCTTAGAAATCCTGGGCAAACCCCCAAATTTCTAAAGCTGTCTCAGCTCTGGCTTGTCTTCATGACTATTAAAACAGAGACTGCTTGGTGCTATGATTAAAATGTTTTTATAATTATATTTTAAAATAGGGAAATTGAGCTCTGAATTAATGTGATTTCAGGATAATCCAACTAGCATTTATCGAATACTTACTCTTAACACTAAGAAAATTATATGTTTTAAGAGGAAAGCCATTTTTTTACACTGCAGACTTTTAGTGGTAGTATTTTAATTCAAGTAACATCTAATGTGGTGCTTCTTATATTTAAACTATCTACATGTGAGACAAGTAACTAGAGGTATCATTGCGGGACAAGGTTCATGGCCCTATGGCCTCACTACCAGTGGAATTTGCTGGCTACCTTATTTTGGTTCCTTTGAATTGGAAATTTCTGGGAAAGGAGTAAGATTTAGAGTGAGAAAGGAGCAAAAAATTATAACATCACAGTAAATCCTTCAGGGATATCTGTCCCACTGTTATTGCTCCTTTCTTTTCTTTTCTTTTTCTTTTTTTTAAGTTGAAGGAAAGTTTTGTGTCATCAATTAAATCCAGGAAACCCAGATCACAATATCAATGTAGACTGCAAAGAGAATCAATTTGGAGGTGAGTTGCTGCTGCGGCCTTGAAGGATGAGCATGAGAATGTTGCGGCCTTGAAGGATGAGCATGAGAATGGAAGGAGGAAAGACTGCAGAGAGCCTAGGGAAGGCAACTAGTGGAAAGAAAACTTTTTGTCCTGCTATATCTAAGTTCTGTTGGGACTTACAGCAGTTTGCAATCTATAGATTTAATCGTGGTGTTGTTGTTGTTGTTATGTGCCTTTGAGTTGGAACCAATTCATATTTGACCCTCCAGCTGAGTTTCACAGGCAGTTAATCTGATTGGAAGAGATTGCCCATCCTTTTGCTGAGCAGCTGGTGGATTTGAACCACATGCCTTTGGGATTGCAACACAACTTCTTATGGGAGCTTTCATATTTAATATTGGTGGTGTATATATACACACTGTTGTCGTTGTTGTTAAGTGCCATCGAGTTGTAGATGACTCATAGTGACCCTATGAACAACTTCTTACCCTATGAACAAAAGACCTGAACATTTGTATAACTTTCATCGTTTCTCTATGTTCATAGAGTTTCTGGAGGCAAGTCATTTCAGAAATGGATGCCGCTCCTGCTTCCAAGTTTCTTTTAATCGGGAAGCTCCACCATACACTGTCCACCATGGGTAACCATTATCACATTTGACACATCAGTGTCACAATGTTTAGCCTCACAGCAACCACAAGTTAACTCTGTACAGCAAATAGAGCAGTGCTATACCACTTAGAAGAATGTTTGACAAAAACCAATTAAAACCAGCCTCTGTAGAATCTGGCTCCTGCACACTACTTCCAAACTGGATTCCAGCTCCATACTGCTGACCAAATGGGTTTTTAAATAGGAGGCCAAATCACATCATCTCACACCAATTAGCGAGTCAACATTCCACACTAATCCCCACCAGTATCAGCAAACAAACCTCTGTAGAATCTGGCTCCTGCAGACAACTTCCAAACTGGATTCCAGCTCCCATATATACATATAAATATATGTGTATATATGTACATATCTATCTATAATTTGTGGTGCTGGAGAAGAGTATTGAACATACTATTGACTGCCAAGAAAACAAATAGGTTTGTCTTGGAGAGGGTGAAACCAAGTTTCTCCTTGGAAGCTAGGGTTTTGAAGCTTTGACTCATATGCTTTGCGTACATGGCCAGGAGAAACACATTATGCTCAGAAGGGTGGAGGGACATCGAAGGAGAGGAAGTCTGCGGATGAGATAGATTAACACAGTAATGGGGGTAGTAGATATGCTGAAGTCAGTGGGACTGGCTCAAGACAGGGTGGGGTTTAGAGCTGTTATACATAGGGTTCCTATGAGTCACAGGTGACTCACTGACACCTAACAATAATATATGTACGTACATACATACATACATTCAAACTTGTTACCATCAAGTCAGAACTATGGTTGGACCTCCAGCAATTTTCAGAGGCTGTAAATAACTTGGAAGGACATTGCTTTTCTTTGATTTAAACTACCTGCTTTGGATAGGCAACTCCCTATTTACTAGGCTATCAGAACTTGTGTGTGTGTGGGTGGGTGTGTGTGGTGTGTGTGTATATCTCCAACATTACACACATATGCACACATACAAACAAAACTACAGGATGTATTGTTACAACAATATTGGCATCTTCATTAAAATGCTTATACATACAAGTATTTCTATGTGTGCATATATACCTATGTGTGCATTTTGACTCACTGATCTTTTTAATGTCATTGTTAATATTGTTTGAGATATCTGAGTAGTGGATAAAATGAGGAAGAAAATTGCCAGTTCAAAGGTGCTGCCTGCAATAATACACTAGTTGGAGGTTATGAGCTATGGAGAGCTTATAAAAGCATCAACTGAGCCCTTGGAAAGCCTGACTGAAATAAGGCTCCTATGCTTTGGTTTAGCTGAAAATAACACTTAATGGTATGAATCTTCAAATCAGTTTTTCTCTCAAAGCCTGGGATTTCTCTACCTAATTTTCCATCTCACATTTGAGTGTTTTCCCCTCTCCTGTCCGCCAGCTCAAACTAACTCATAGGAATACATGCCCTTGATTTTTACTATCTGACTTTTCTGTTTTTTTCACAGAACATAAATGTTGTCATTTCTGAATACACCTTAAAAATATGCCTTATCAATATCTGGTTACATAAGTCTATAAATCTTCAAAGAAAAATGTTAACTAACCTCATTGGTGGACGGGTGACTCAATGTCCAAGGAATTTCTAATATATGTAGTGTTCCATAATAATCAGCTATGGCTATAAATTGCTGCTTTGCTGAAAGATTAAAAACAATGGGACAAAGATCAGCAAACATAAGGACATTTTAGAGCTTACAAAGAAAATGTATTTTTGTCTGTGGTCTCGCATGAGACCTGTTGTGTGGTTACAATAATTTGGCATCTTCATCAGGTGCTTATATCTGGCAAAAATGACATGTGCAAGTATTTTTTTCCAAATTGATAACTTGTTTCTAGTATTTATCATTTTGGTCTTATTTTCACAAACTTCCTTAGTTTCTGCTTATCTGCCAGTATCCTAATTTCACTATCATATTTGAGAGATCTTTTTGCTGGGTATAGAATTCCTTGTCAACCTTTTTTTTTCCCTTTCAGAAATTTACATATTCCTTCTTAGTTGCATGATTTCTACTGAGAAATTGGAGTTAATCTCATTGTTTATCTTTTGTAGGTAATTTTTAAATTTTGCCTCACTTTTTTAGTATTGTCTTTAGTTCTGAAAAATTTGGTTATGATTTATCTTGGTGTTATTATTTTTCAGGCTATACAGTTTGGATCATCATCATAGGCTCTTGCTCATATGTCATTTCATGAAATTCTTCTGTGTCAGCCAATTCCTTCTGATACAGTGACTCTGTGTATTCCTTCCATCTTCTCTTGATACTT